TCTTTCCCTTTCAATCTTTCTTGGTTTGTCCTATCGACATAAAACATTAAAAAAAAAAGAAAAAGACATCAAAGGCGAAAGAGGCACACTGGTCAGAAACTGGATGATCATGGCAACGGTGAACTGGAGCAGTTGGGTGAAACCATCAGCATCAGGCCCTCAGCCTCTGTTGTGTTGCTCATTGAAGAGGGGAACAAGGGTAGAGAAGAAGGGCATTAGAAGGGTGGATTGCGCTCTACACTCACCCCCAGTGATCCACTTCCCAAACCAACCCCAAATCACCAAAGAAACCACCACACCGGGGAAACACTCTCGCTGGAACCCATTCCAAAAAGCCGCCGCAAAAGCCCTTGACATGTTCGAGACCGCGTTGGTCGCACGCGAGCTCCACAAACCGCTCCCTAAAACCACCGACCCACGCGTCCAAATCGCCGGAAACTTCGCCCCCGTCCCCGAACACCCCGTCACGCATTCCCTCCCCGTAGAGGGCACAATCCCCCGCTCCCTTAACGGCGTCTACGTCCGTAACGGCGCCAACCCAATGTTCAACCCCACCGCGGGGCACCACCTCTTCGACGGCGACGGAATGCTCCACGCCGTTAAATTCAATGACGGGACCGCCTCCTACGCCTGCCGCTTCACGCAAACCGAACGCCTCCTGCAGGAACGCGAACTCGGAAAACCGGTCTTCCCCAAAGCCATAGGCCAACTCCACGGCCACTCCGGCATCGCCAGGTTGCTTCTCTTCTACACGCGCAGCCTCTTCGGCCTCCTCGACCACCGCCGCGGCGCCGGCGTCGCCAACGCCGGCCTCGTCTTCTTCAACGGCAAACTCCTCGCCATGTCCGAGGACGACCTCCCCTACGAGGTCCAAATCACGGACTCCGGCGACCTCAAAACAATCGGCCGTTACAGCTTCGAAAATCAACTCAAGTCCAGCATGATCGCGCATCCCAAGATCGACCCGGCCACCGGCGAACTCTTCTCCCTCAGCTACGACGTCACCAGCCCCTGCCTCAAATACTTCCACTTCTCGCCGGCCGGCAAGAAGTCGCCGGAAGTCGAAATCAACCTCGGCTCTCCGACCATGACGCACGACTTCGCCATCACCGAGAATTTCGTGGTCATCCCCGACCAGCAGGTGGTGTTCAAGCTGGCGGAGCTGATCAAAGGAGGGTCCCCGGTGATGTTCGACGGCAAGAAGAAATCTCGGTTCGGGGTTCTCCCCAAATACGCGAGCGACGCGTCGAGCATGGTGTGGGTGGAGACGCCGAACGCGTTCTGCTTCCACCTCTGGAACGCGTGGGAGGAGGCAGAAACGGACGAGGTGGTTGTTCTGGGGTCGTGCATGACGCCGGCGGATTCCATCTTCAACGAGAGCGAGGAGAGTCTGAGGAGCGTGCTGAGCGAGATAAGGCTGAATCTGAGGACGGGTTTGTCGACGCGGCGCGCGGTGGTCCCCGATATGAACATGGAGGTGGGGATGGTGAACCGGAAGCGGTTGGGGAGGAAGAGCCGGTTCGCTTACCTGGCGGTGGCTGAACCGTGGCCGAAGGTGTCCGGTTTGGCGAAGGTGGATTTGGAGAGCGGAGAGGTGACGGTGCATGAGTACGGCGAGGGAAGATTCGGTGGAGAGCCGTTTTTTGTGGGCACACGTGGAGGCGAGGAGGACGAGGGGTACGTTATGGCTTTTGTGCATGACGAGGTGACGTGGCAGTCTCACTTGCTGATTTTTAATGCCCTCGACTTGAGCCTCCAGGCCTCTCTCCTGCTTCCCTCCAGAGTCCCCTATGGCTTTCATGGCACTTTCATTGAGGCTCACCATTTCCCCTTACAATCCTCCTTTCATTAATCCTTTTTTATTTTTTTTATTTTATTTGGTTTAATAACTTTGTGGAGAATTTCACCAGAGGGATTCATTGGGTTTGGGTACCACACTTGACACTACCACTAGCAGACAGGTCCCCGGGTTCTCCTCAACATGGATTTTGTTGTTATATCTGCATGACTGCATTGCATATTGGATATTGCATTCCTACTTTCCATTCTCTAATTGCTTCATACTTACCCATTCCCCTATTCCCCTTTCCTCCTCTCCCTCCACCCGCCTCGTATTCCTCTGCTATAATTTGGATTGGCCGACTCTAGCTGTCAACACTCAACAGCTTCTGCTCCACCTCTCTCTCTCCACAACCTTCAATGTGCTTCCGCTTAATTTCCTTTTTATGCTGCCACTGCCACTGCCACTGCTAATTAATCATCTCAAACTACAACTTCAAAATCTAACCACACGCTCAAAGCCTAGTACTCCACGTGTAAGTCACATGATTACATCACCACACCTGGACCAATTTACGTCACCCACTCCAACCTTAACTAATTTTCTTTTCATATATATATTCAACTCAATTTCTTCTTAAATATTTTTTATATATCTATCTATGCAACTCAATTTACCACCACTTTATAAAAATCAAATATAAGGTTTTTTTATTTTTATTTTTTTTATCGTTAGTACTAAAAGTATTCTAACTCGTACGACTATATTAGAAGCAACAAAATTATATAGTCGATACATTGATCATAAAAGGAACATTAAAAACTACTTAATTTGACCTTAATTAAATCATATTCACAAACAAATTTTTTATCAAGTTTGTAATATCAATGAAGTTAAAAGAAATATAATTGTTACGTAAAATCTAAATATACAGATCATACCATGAGATGCTAAATAACATGATGAGTAAAACAGAGTTTTATTTTTTTTTTCTTTTGAAGATAGAGCTAAATGAAGTAAAATGAGAAGACAAATCATTATTAGGCAATACCCAAGAAAGCCCAAGTTATACTAAGAATGCATTTCAAGTCCAAATTGTCATTGGACAAGATAGAAATAGGTAAAGACTGTCTTTCTTAAAGGTCAAACAAAAACATAAAATGTACCATGTAGTTAAGACAATGCTAGAACTCTTCTTTTGCACAAAGTAACTGGAGTAAGTAAGCAATAATTAATATCTAGAATAACTCTCCAAGCGAATGTAACCTCTTTGAGAGAAGCAGGGCCTTTCCAAAAATATTATTTTAATTGAGACATTTATTATGAGACAGATTGAGTAATATTTTTTTTTGCAAAAAAAGAGTGATTATTTTATTGATAATAAATTATCATTTATGCTAAAAAAAATTGATTTTTTCAGTATAAAAAATCGCTAAAAATAGATTTTCATACATATTTCCAGTTTAGGATATCAACAATCAATTATTTTTAAAACAATATATATTCAATTATGAAAGGGACCCACATGAACTTCAATTTTCAGTGGACCCAAGAAGAAATTGTTTTTTCGGTCCACCACAACGAATTGCAAGAGTTTGAAAATCGATTATTTTAATTAAATTAATTGATTTGTATTTTTTCTCTCTCTTCTTTAAAATTACTTGAAAAATTACAATATATATATATATATATATATATGAAGCTATTTGTCATGGTTTATTTTGTCTTTAAAATTATCAACTATTGGGGTTAAAGTTAGAAAATAAATACATAAAATAATTTGATAGCTTTTAATCATAATCTTCAAGTGCTTGCTTTTGAGATATATATCTGGTTTCTTGGGAACATAAGCAGTTTTGGAGAAAAACAAGTACCAATTTTTTAGCTATTAGCTAATTCATTTGGAAAATTAGATGAAAAACTGATAAATCTGTTTAGCTTTTGTTAAACTAAAAAAAAAACTTTTATCCTTCGAAATAAATTTTTCATCACAATCTAATCCTTACCAAAAACACTGTCACCTAAGATTGAACTCATTAGTGGTGAAAAAATTCGATAATATGCATATAATTATATATTTAAGCCGCTACACTGTCATTATCGATACAAAAGGTGAGCAATTACTCTAAAAAATTGATTAATGTTTACAAATTGACAAAAATATAAACACACCCTTCCATTTACAATATTTTTTATTATTAAAAAAAATTTGTTATAACTTAATAGAAAGTTTCATTCAAATCTAATTAAAAAAGATAACCAAATTTTCTTCCTATCATTTGTTTTTTTTTTTAGCTTAGCTTATTTGGTCGGCCATCATGCTGATTTAACAAGCATTTAAAGTTGAAACAAGATAGAGAACAAAAAGTCTATCTATCTATGCTGCCATTAATAGAATACTGTGATACATATAGAGGATATATATGAATTTAAGTAAGAATCTGTGTTTAGTTATCTTGAATAACAACGAAACTTTGACTTTTTTTTTAGAACCTAAACAACTTAAAGACTTTTAATTTTTTTAACAATAATGTAATATTAATTTTGATGTCACTTATATTAACTATAAGAGAACTTAATGTCTAAAAAAATTATTTTGTAAGTGTAAAATATTTACTTCTTTATCAATAATGATTAATTTATGTTAAAAAACTTGTCTAATCACTCTTAGTTAGATGTTCCCTTTTAATCATATTTTTTCACTCACAAACTCAAACATGTTTAAAGAATCTAATCTCAACTATACTTTAATTAACAACTTGTTGGTAATGTCATTAGTTTTGACAATACTTTTTATTAACTATAATGAATGATTATTTTTCTTTTAGAGAAAATAGACTTAGTGTGTGTTTGGTGTTGCGTTTTAAGAATTGATTTATCAAAATCAATTTTCCAAACGTAGAAGCTATTTTTATTAGCTTCAGACAAAATTGATTTTCACACTTAAAATTGTGTAAAGAAGAGAAAACCAAACATCTATTCAAAGAGAGGAATCACGTTTTTTCATCCAAATACGTGCGTTAGCTTGCTTTAACGCAAATCCAAACACGCTGTTATTGTACTAATAGTATAAATCGATTTTAAGTTGTCATTCAATCACAAACTATCATGTATGAAAAGCTACTTTAATTAATTTTTATAATTTTTAATAAAAAGTCATTTCAATAATTTTTTATAGGTTGATATTGTAATAATTTTGTTTTAACAACCACAAACTAAGCCTTTTCAAATCTTTTCATTGCTATTATTTAACCAACACATAAGAGCCCAATTTAAACATTAATTTATTTCATACGATCAACCAAATTAAGCACCATGATCATCATGCATGTTTCCCTCTACTAATTACAAGTCCCATGAACAACACCTCATATTTGCTATGAGTCTTAAGGCAAGATCACACTAGAAGCATCATAAATAACGAAAAACTTCTTATTGTGCCATGACACACTACTTGAAGAGAACTTTGTCACCATATTACTCCATACCTATTCACCATGTTGCCACCTATGAGTTAGCATTAATTTAGAGCAAGCTAGGTCCTTACTATATAGATCGGCTAAAAGTTGTTGAAAACTTGCAATTAGTGTTTGCCAAAAGTTGGCACAATTAATGTTGACTAAAATCATATCTTTTACATTGTTTGAGCATAATAGTTCACACATCACATAGAAAGACAAAATACATTTGTGTGATATATGAACATGTTTCCTTTAATTACTTTTATTTTTAAAATATAAACACATAATTGTGAGCACATGTGTCAGTGTCATATCAATAAATGTGTCAAATTGTCACATGAATCATGGCATCAACATGTAAGTGTGACATTATTAATCTTTAATTGTCATATTATTACTAATGCACTACACCAATTTTTTTTTAATGAATGATGCTACAGTCTCCGAATAATTATTTAATTTAATATTTTATAATTTAAATTATTATTTGAATCATTCAAAATGAATTTCGACACACGTGTTTGGAGACTCAATCATTTTTATTTTTATTTTTTCATATAAAAATTAACATCAAGGATGAACTGACATTACTTGGATTAAAAAATGCAAGGATCAAATATAAAACAAAATTATATATTCACAAAATTATAAAGACTAAAAATAAATTTAAGAAATATTTGTAAATATTTAATTTCTGTCATAAATGAAAAAAAAAGACAACCAAACCCTACACATGATTATTTTAATTATATTCATCACCTCATTAATTAATAAGAAAAAAATTATCAAAGCTTTTCAGCATATCATTTTCGAATTTCTTACATACGCTTGTACTTGAACAAACTTACAGAACGACACCAAGTCAGATATATCGTTTGTTTGCTTGTTTGAATTAGGTAAAGTTTATTTGTCAAGATTCCCTTCCTATAGGCGTAATATTCACCACACAAAAAATTGTGCCAAAAGCCTAATTAAATGTTTGTAATCAAATGGAAAAAGGAAAAAGAAAAACGTATAAAAAACGTGACTCATCTAACAATACTTAGAGTTTAGAGAGTCTGCTGAAGAAGCAAAAGGAAAATGGTGACAAAATAATAAATATTATTAATAATATTATTTGTTAAGTCTATTTTAATTATAATGGAAATAAAGTTATTCTTCATTTTGCCGAAGAAGCAATATTGGCCATAACTTTGCAAAAGGTTTATTAAGACATTGAAAGTTACATGTCTAATGACAGAAGACAATGGGGACAAAAAGTCCCACTTGCCTTTATCGTAGGTTAGTAGTCAAAGAAAGTCATATATCTTCTAATGCTGCCTAAAAGACCGTTTCAGTGATGGACCCCCAAAAAGCCAATTTTTCACTCATTGTTATTCTTCATCCTTTCCAACACAATTTTCATTTTTATTTTTATTGTACGCTAGCTACTGCCTCTCTTCTCGCTTACCACTTCCATCTCCACGTTATTTTAATGTTTCATCTTAATTATACTAGAGTGTATTACAATTTTAACATATCATATATAACTATTTAATAAAAACAAATATTTATAATAATTAGGATAAATATTCAATTTAACGGGGATTTCAAAATTTACTAGAAATAGATGTAGGTATAAGTATTATAGTACTTATCTCGTTATTCATACCCGCATACAAATGCATATAATTATTTAATTAGAATATTACACACATATATATATATATATAAGATCTACTTATTCTATGAATAAATCTATATAAATTTATTTCACTTAATAATTTATATTTTATATTAAATTTGAACGATTCAAATTTTAAATTAAAAGTTTTTAATATATATATCAAATTTATAAATTTTTTAAAAATTTTAAAATTATTTGATACTCTATTTCATTAATTCAAATCAACGTATATAATACTTTTATTATTATTTATTAATTTGAATTAATGAAATCATCTATCACTAATTTTTAAAATTTTTAAATATTTGCAAACTTTATCAATGTATTAATTTTTTTTAATTTAATGGTTAGATCATTAAAATTTACTGTAAAACATGAGTTATTTAGTGGACTAGCTCTAGATAGACTTACTCCACTTAATAAATTATATTCTACATCAAATTTTAATAATTCAATCATTGAATAACAAGTTCATAATGTATAGATTAAATATTTAAATTTAAAAAAATTTGAAATCATATGATACTTCAATTTATAAATTCAAATTAACAGATAATTATGAACATATTTTATACATTTATTTGAAGTTATGTAATAAAATATTATATTATTTTCAATATTTTTTATAAAATTTGTAAACTTGATTTATTCTTGAAAAACTCAACACAAAGTACAAGTTATTAAATAAGATAAATGTAAGTAGTCTTACTTTTTAAGTAAGTTGGTCTCTTATTTATTTATATATATTAGAGAGGCTGAGACATTTTATATCTATAGTAATTACACATAAAAAAAGATATTTTTGTATCTAAGAAGGTATAATGATTTACTAAAAAAGTGGAGACCAAAAAGATGATTATTAAAATATTATATAATATATATATATATATATATATATATATATATATATATTAATTAAATCTATTAGAATTGATTTAGTAAGAAAGATTGAAATAATACAGAGATATTATTTTCGTTCATCACATTTTTTACTTTTTTTTTTTCATTATCACATTTTATTTTAATTTCCTATTTCATATTTTAAAATATGTCACCACTTTCTGATTGGCGCAATCTTCTAGCATGGAATGTTTTAGAGGCTTCCCTGCAAGGAAGATAATTGGAGGTCTCCCGTTCCATGTTTAAAAAGAGTTGTTATGGCTGCCACTTGGCAAATAAGAGATTATGTAAAATGACACGTACTTTACAGAAACAGAAAAAATAGGATGATCATTCTTAATTTGTTGTTGCTTCAATTCTACAATTTTAACATCATAAATACTTTATTAACCGCTACGGTATTATTTTTTGTTTTTATTGTATTTACATTTTTATTTTATTATTCTTTTTTCTTTTTAGATATCAACTATCATAATGGTGCATGCGCTTGCCCATACCATTTTCCAACCAATTCTTCGGGATGGGTCAAGGGAAAACCTGATTGAAGGGACAAATCACAAGTGTATTGATTTGAATGAGTGAAACACACGAGGAAAAACAAAGACGGAATAACATGGTCTTATCGGATCGGGTTGATTTAGATTTAAACGAAAATCTAATTTAAATTAATTAAATTTTATTGATTTGAATTGATTCATATTTTATATATTTTTTATTTAATTTAAATTAAATTAATATGATATTAATTAGGTTGATTCAATTTAAGTATTAGATATTTAATAAAATAAATTAAAAATATAATTATTTTTTCAAAGTAAATAAATTTTTAATATTAACTAAATTGATATATCATAAAACTAAATTGATAGATTTATAATATAGTTATTATTATTATTTTTAATATATTTAAAGATTTTAAATGTACTACATTATGTAACAATGACACTCAATATATTATAATATAATTTCTCTTAATTTTTTAAAATTAAAAATGAATAATTTTTTTTACATATTATAAATAAAAGCATCTTTAAAATAATACATATATTAATTATTAACCAAATAAAAATAAAAATAAAATATAAATTGATCACATGTTAATTCAAATTTTAAATTATAAATCCAATAATCAAACTAATCAACAAGATTTAATTAATTTGATTCGAGTTGAATAAAAATAAAAATAAAAAATAATTTAATTGATTTAGTTGAAATTATCATATTGATCTGATGAACAGAATAAGAAGAAAATCCCATTTAAAATTTATAAACCATGCCTCCAAAATTATTTTTGAGAAAATATTTATAAAAGCTAATCAAGCATAATTTCGTTACTATTTTTTATTTTATGTGGAAATAAAAATAAAAGAAATCCGACCAAATTAAACGGTCTAATGTATTGAACAAACGTATTGAATTAATCGGATTGATATTTGAGGTGCATGCATGCAAACATTTATTACTCGTAGCTGGCAGGATTTTGCCATTGCTACGTTGCAGAACCGAGTCTGGCTGCTTTGGAGAGTGATACAAGTGGACACTCCGCCTAACATGCACGTGTCCTCTTGTTTAGACATCCACGTATACTATCACTCATGCAGATTATAAACACACTTCCGCTAAATTAATATTGCCTTACATAGTTAAGGTTATAAAACAAATAACAATGAATCTGCTACGGAGTTTGATTATGATGAATATAAAGAATTAAAATCAAAAACTGTTGGGGAAGAAAGGGAAGAAACGGACGCATGGGAGGGAATTTACAAAGGTAATGATATTTTAATATTTTATTTTTTCAAAAACACTCTGAATAACACTTTTTTTTTTTCTTTAGGTGTCATAGCATTTGGATGTAAAAAAGTACTTTTGAAATTAAAATCGTTCATTGGGACGTATATATAATATCCTGGAGAACTTTTATACAGTATATCTGGAAAAACTAAATGTGCTTCACTCACACTTGTGTACTTGGGATGAGGTAAGTATACTTCTTAGGATCTAAAAATATACCTGATCTTATTATTATTTTTATATTGGTTCAAGGGATGCTATAAAATATTTCAGTCTTAATTGAAAATTAAAATTTAATAATGAAACTATTTATAGGCATTGTTGAGATTAAATAAGCCCTATTATATCATAGTGATACTTGGTTTCCATGTGAGGTGGATTTTTTATTAGGTTATTGTTTTGGGTGGATGTTATGGTTAAAATAATAATTAATAATAATAATATGGTGTTGTTGATGATATTGTTTCTAATATATAGAGAATTTTTCCTAGTAAAATAATGCTTGATTAGGAAAAAGTTATATTTTGTGAGTATAAATTAATTTTTAATTATTAATTTTAAAATATTGTGTGAATCATGTTCATAAATAATAAAAATAAATATAGAAGATAATACAGTGGTTCTAGGAGGGAAAAAAGTTTGGATAGCATTCTAGTGTTTGGATTCTGTTATTTGTTGAGAAAGAATGTTATTTTTAAACATTGTTTTATTGATTTCTTTTTTTTTTATACATTATTGAATTGATTAGGTTTTGGTTTGCTGCTAAATTTGAAATTTCCAGGCTGTATTTTTCTACCTGGTGTAGCTGTTATTCAATGTAACATGTCTTTTATTGGGTGAAAGATAGAGTAGAAGCCTTTTTTCTTCTGTACCAGTTAGAGTATATTTTGTAATTCAATAAACTTCATTTGCTTACCTCCCAAAAATTACCCAGCTATTTTTAACTAAATTGAAACGGTACAATATTAATATAAACATGCACAAGTTGGTTCATAACTTATAGTAATATACATCGTTTGTGTCTATTTCCGAGAAATGAAAATCTCAAATTATACATCTTAAATGAATAAAAGCATATAGAGGGACATGTTATTTAATTACGAGGTCGCTATGCATTTATAGTGAGAAACACATAAAAATATATAGACAGTGATTCTCTTATGTAAGCAGCATATGTCATCTTACATTGCAGATCCAACAAATATGGATAAAATGGACAGAAGGAAGCTGTAGAGGAAGTCAAGGATGTGTAAGTTCCAAATGACAACTTAGGATGACCTTGCATGCAAAAATTTAGGGAGAGAAGACTACCCTCACGATTCATGAAGTTATTAGTTTGACTCTTGGATCAAAGAAAGGTTGAGCCACAGTCTAAAAGTAGAATGTAGAATCAAATTTAGTTGGCTCCAACCTGGAAATGCTTCACAGTTATAAATTTAAAGGAGTTGGCTCTTATATAAGTTCTATCGCACCCACAGTTTAAATTTGTCATCTAACCCTAATTAACTAAAGTAATATTAAGATTATTGATATTTATTGTTGTAAGTAGAAAAGGATTTGAATTGTTTAATAAGCAAAGGTATCAAGTTTGATTTTGAAATTTACGTGTATCAAAAAATAATATTTATCAAAAATTCGAAAAAGATTAAGCTCGATTACATGCTATTTATTTATTTATTTTATAATTTAGAAATCTATTTTAAAAAATCCAAGGACCAACATATATTAAACCTTTTCCTATTTTAATTTCTTGTGCTTATCTAAAAGAAGATAAAGTACAATGATATCAATTGAAGGTACTCAAAATAAAATCTTTAGAAGAGCCAATATATTTCAATTATGTGTATCCCAAAACTAAGAAATTAAAATAGGATGGAATTATTTGACCCTATACTGATAGGAATTTAGGAGAAGTGGGCACTAGTTGGGCGGTATGAATTAGTTGGGTAGTACAAACAATTACAAAAAAGTAATTTACTTCAATTATTTTAAGTTTTTTATATTAGAAAAAAGTTTGACGTGAATACTAGATAAAATTGACATAAATTTAGTCGGACATTACCAAGATCGGACTTGGTAGGGTCCGACGTAAAATATAAAATCTACATTGAACACAACATACATTCGACGTAGATTTTACATTTTACGTCGGACCCTATCAGGTCCGACATAAATTTTTTTACAAAAATTACAAAAATATTATCGTGTTTTTTTATGTTAATGTGACATAATATACTAACTTTTTACTAGTCACATTTGTTTAAGTTTACTAGGTCATTATGGTAGAGAGAAATTAAGCTGGTCATTATCTATTTATTTTAATTTGCACCATAAATAGATAGTAATCAACTAAATCGATTGTTTAATCATATGATGTTGTATCAATTTCAAATCTAGTTTTGTATATGTATTTTTATACCCTTATATATCTCTTTATTTGCTGATAAAAAAAACAAGAAAAAATAGTCACCACAACTATCAAAAGATGGTTAATTTTCGGGTTTCTTTCAATGCATCACTATAGTTTCCGGTGTAACATGCCTGGGTAATAATACCATGTGATGCACGGAAAACAATTAACTTTTAAAACATCAACTATGGTCCCCATGTGCAATCTTTTTTCCTATAAAATTTGCTAGGCAGAAAAAGATTCTCCATGATACCAAACATAAATTGAGTATCAAGATACCCCATTTTTTTTCATGACAAATTTCTTAAAAATTTTACCAGATGAGAATTTGAGAATTCAATAGGCAGCAGATTCTGTGACAAAGGAGAACAACCAATGACAAAAACAATCGTAGCTAACTGACGAGTGCCACAAGGAATAGAGTAGTGTATCATATTAATTTAATTAACCATGCATGGTCAACTAGCATGATATTATTTTAGTTTAACTATAATGATGTTGAATTTGAATCTTAGATATACAACCATCTTAAATATTTGGTATTAAATTAATATATATATATATATATATATATATTAATTTAATTATCCAAATATCTCTAACCAGCTAGCTATACGATTTCATGAGTCTTCCACGTGATGCAAAGCTCGGCAGTCAAATAAGTGGACATTCTATGTAATGGCCTAATCAGGCTAGCTAGCATCATTCTTTAAATTAGCATCCCCTTGTATTATGATGTTTATAGTGTGAAGTATTCTTGTAGTACTTTATATGACTCTAAGAAACAATTAATCTTTAATCGTAGACAAAGTTGCATTTCACTAACAACTTGAAATTCTGATACAATAGCAGACACTTGATCCAACATAAAATGATTGTCTTTAGCCGTAGACAAATATAAGGTGCATCATTTCCTACAATTAACTCCTATTACATAATTTGATGATATATATAGGTGTCAGTGGCATTGGTGGATGTATAAAAATGATTGTAGGTCAGATTTTTCATTTATATCGATGTATTGATTCATGACTTTGTATTTTAAATAATTAATTAGTAAGTTGTTATTGTATATCTTTCTGAATTTAGGCAATTTTATTTATGAGGAAATTTTTTTTCTATTTTATGTAGAACTTTTGTATAATCTCTTTTTTTAGTTTTAATTAATATATTGAGATGTGCTTTTAAAAATAAAAATAAAAACGTGTCACTGGCTTCAATAATTGTGAATTTGTGATCAAGTATACAAATTAAGCTAAACACATATAGCTTCTGGTGGTGGTTCCGATTTCTAGAGAACCCAGAACACGTGTTCATTAATGAGCCATACGCACAGCCACAAAAAGTTTGAGAGGTGTCTGAAGCATGCTTCAAGAGACTTATTGTTACTGATCGATGCTTCTATTGAAAAATATTGAAAAAAAAATATTTAAGTTTTATATTAATTAGAAATTAGATAATTAAATAATATATAATTAAAAAATAATTCTCATCTTATAAATTAATCTTGTAAATTTAAGTTAAACTCAAATTTATTATTTTAAGATGATATTAAATTTATCTAGATACATTCTAAATGAATTAGAGATTAAACAATTAAATAGTATATAAATAAAAAGTATCATTTATTTTATAAATCTGTTTTGTAGGATTAAATTAGGTTCAAATCTACTATTCTAAGAACTTGAATTAAAATATTAATATGAACAATTTCAATTTTTTTGACATTTTTATTTTAGAAAAATAGAGACATGCACCAAAAAGAACCTATAGCTGTCGGCACAACAATTTGTTGGATACAATTGATTATTTTCTGGCGAGTGATTTATGCATATAACCGCTTGCAAGTGAGTGAACATTGCAAATATTTCCTGCTTTCTATTCTTATTTAGGAGCAATTACAATGAGAGGACGCATGAGATTTGAATATATGCATGGCCTCCTACAAAATATCCAAATTTCATTAGCCACTTGTTGCAGCTTTCTTGCTTCAATCTTTATGTTGTAAAACTGTCAAATCTTTACTTGTTATTGCTTCAAATATCTTGCTTTTTTTTAACAAAATGAATTATACCTTTGAAATTGATATAATCACATGATACATTAGCAATTAATCACAGATCATTTTAAATATAATTTTCAAGATAATTATCACAAAAAAATTGTTTGAATAATTTTTTTTCACAAGTAAAAATTAATATCTATATTTCTATTGATGACATCAAGAGTAGATAAATAGAATCCAGCATGATGAACATGTGATGTTGCACCTTTTTTGTATTTCATTAATGTGTGGAATATGGTCTAATTAATCTCTCTAGGCATGAATGCATGATAAGACCGAATTGCTTCAATCACATTTTGATAACGACAAGTCATCAGGACAATAGGAGCAATGGCAAATGGGCACCAGTAAATGGAAGATATGTGAACAATGAAAGACCCGATTTTGACAAATTGCTTGAGAATTAATAATGCATCAACTTGAATGTTAGAAGGCCACATGTTTTCCACATGACGAGACCAATTAACTTTGGAGCCGCACAAGGACAATAAAGGAGACAAATCATATCTGACAGGATTTTATGCTGGAAGCCGTTAATTTCATTATTATTTTAAAAATATGCAGTTGCATGAGAAATCTAGTAACTTATATTAACTTCTGCAAATCAACAAGTAGTGTACCATTACCCTTGCGCTGTCAGAATGCAGAAGGCATGTGCAAAACGATTTCATGCATGATATCTTCAAATAGTAATGATGATTAATGAGCAAGCTAGATACATGGCATGTTGCATGTGTCAATTGAACAGTTGCATTGCATGTATCTAACTCCGCTTAATGTCTAAACTCATATTTTTCAGAAGATAACCATTTACGAAGCTTATTATAATGATAGGGACAGGGACAGATTTCTAAGCCCACACACCCTCGTTACGTCCTAATTAAGATAATTCAACACTAATAAATGTAAAGTAAATAAACTATGTAATATTATATTAATTTTTGAAAACTTACTTTTCATCACCACCCTTTATTTTTTCAATTTAATACTTATAACTCGATTTTGACTGTTAGGTTAAAAGAAAATGAAAAGTGAGAATTATGAGATTTTTTTAAGAATTGAGTTAAAGACCTAATTTAATCTTATAAAATTAATTTATAAGGTAAGAATTATTTCTCACTTATATACATTATTATGATTTTATTTTTAGATGATGTGAAATCTTCAATACCATGTCATCTCATTTTAAGAGTAAAATGTATTTAAAAATACTCATGGAATAACTTATAAATAGAGAGAAAAGAGCAAATTAGGTCATAAAATCACATATGAATAATGAAATTTGAGTTTTTTTTTTAAGTCATCGAGTTACCTAAACAAGATACGACTTGTTAAAAAATCCATATGATGTTTGTAATTTAATTTTAATTACTTTGATAAAATTTAATACACAATAACTCACATAAAAATATATCAAAGAGAGAGGAAGACTTATTCTTTATAGTGGCTCTTGTAATTTTATCTTTTCCTTGTTAATAGCTTTATATATCTAGTGTAAAAGGATTCAAGTATTTCTTGTACCTGTTTATTCCAATAATATTAATTATTTGTTGTTAAAAAAAATCAAAAGAGAGAGGAAACTATTTGAATATTCCTAAGGCTGGAAGAAAGCTAAGCATCCTAAGGACCATATATAGTGCGGTTTAACTCGTATATATAAGGTGTGACGTGACTCATTTATCAAAAATAAAATTATACTTTTCAAAAAAATGGTTTTGGTTAAAATGTCTAACTTTAGGCCTTAAAACAAAGTCTATTAAGTCTAATAAGTTGGCTTATTTAATTTATATATATTTATATGATATAATATATTATTAAATTATATATTATATATAAGAGAAAAAATTTACTTACTCCATGAAAAGGTTTATCTACACTTATTTTATTCAATGATTCATGTTTTATATCAAATTTTACTGATTTAATCATTGAATTAAATTTTTTTAATATATAGATTAAGTTTACAAAATTTTAAAAATTTTAAAAATTATTTGATATCTTATTTTATTAATTCAAATTGACATATAAGATGTTTTTCTGATTATCTTCAATTTAAATTAATAAATTAGAGTATCAAATAGTTTTTAATTTTTTAAAAAAAAATTATAAACTTGATATATGTATTAAAAACTCTTAATTTAAATGTTGAATAGTTAAAATTTGATGAAGAATATGAATTATTAAGTGAAATAAATTTATTCTTGAAATAAGTAAATTTTTTCCATATTAATATTATATATATATATATATATATATATAACACTATAGAAAAATGTATAAATATAATCTTTAAGGAAACTTAATAAATTAGATTAGGCTTTTATATATAACTCAAATTTTAAGAAAAATTATTGATAGATAAATTAAGTCATATGTATAAAATTTAGTTTAACTTAATTTATTTTTAACCTCGAAATATTTCTATATGATTGAGTGGCCAAATTATTGACTTCTCTCACCTTTTCCTCTAGATATGTTCCTTAACATCCCTTGGCTGTACTTAGAGTTGGGAAAGTTACCTACAAAGATCTAGGTCAAGATTTGATTGCTGCCGGTGCCAACATGTCATTCTACATGGAATTGATCAATAATTGCTTGATAAGCACATTCTTTTAATATGGTTGTTAGAGTAGTGACGGACCTAAACATCACGAAGCATGTTCGGAGCCTTGAAAATTAAATGATATTTGATCCATCTATTTTGGAGTATTTAATAATCTGTACCTACTGAAGGTCGATTGCATATCACATTGATATATATTTTACTTCAGTTTTAACCTAGCTGTGCAGATGCTTTTCAAAAAGAAATATGCCACTTGGAGTATTCTGAACATGAATTTCATATAAAACAACGTACGGTTTAGAAACATTCGCAATAAGATGCTAGATTGAAATCAAATTCTATTTTGTTTCTTTGCGAGGAGATTTAATTCTAATTTTAACGCGAGAATCTCCAAGATCATAATAAGAATAAGATTATTTACCTGTTAAGCGATATTTGTGGCTCAGAATGAAAAACAATACAGAATTGAAAGAAAACGATGCTTCATTCTATGAATATTATAAAATTAATTGTCCGAAAGGCACATCGAAACCAAATCTGTACTGCCAATTCAAATCACATCATGATATTATTCCATCATTTTTTCACATATAGTTAGATTTGAATGCTCACCTAGCAGAAAACAGTTACCAATAAATCGGAAAACGGTAGCCATGGCTTCAAGATATTAACTACAATTTCAGTTGATTACTAGGCAGCCAAGACCATGATGTATCATGCATATTAATTATTTGGCCCAGTGGTATATTTAATAACCAGCAATCCTCCAATTATTTTTAGACCACATACATGCACATTTACAAAATCCACGACAACATGTTTAAGCATGTCTCGGCCATGCCCTGGAATCAGACTCAGGTTTTGCTGCGATATAATATACCAATTAATGTACTTTTCATATGTAATTTAAAAAGAATTATTTTCATGTCCTCCCTTTTTGTTGGAATTCAGTTTGTTGGTTTTCAAATAATTAAAAAAAAGAGGACTGTATATAGATTGATCGATCAGTGCCACCAAAGAAACAAAACCAATTCTTTATCAGAGAAATCCCGACAGGAATAGAAAATGAAGAATTTATTTTATATGTATAATAACAATTTCCAGAATATTTATTTTTGTCTCTTTACAACCCTTCTCTCTCTCTCTCCTCTTTTTGCTCATTGACATTTTTAGAATGATCTTGAAAACATTATGTCGATCTTCTTTGTGGGATGACAGATTTTACAATAACTAGGCTTTATATTATTTTTAAAAAAGAAAAATAAAATAATCAATGCATCGATCCCTTTGAATTTGACTCAAAATGGCTGTATGTATATTAAACGTCACCAGCTTAATTAGTAATTGTCACTAGTGCGGCAGTCACAAAGGAAGCTTTTAGAGTCATATATATATATCTCAGGCTCAGGCACCTTTGCAGATGAAGATGATAAATTATAATACCAACAATAATAATGATGTAGTGAAAGCTGAGCTGAATAAGTTATGTGAAACCCTATTCCTCACTTAACAAGTCTAGGCTATCTTACATAGATCGACATATAGAAATCACCTTACATATACCAAAGCCGAAGTGTTGCTATAGTGTTACCTATATATACAAAATTAACAATCGTTTTGACAAATTTTCAGCGAATTAAGTTAGCATAAAAAAAGAAAACAAAAACTCAGTATTCAGGTAATATACTTTTTTTCTTTAATCATTGAAAGGGATCAAAGATGAAATTATAATGTTCAAAACAAATAAAGACAAAAGGATGCAAACCAAACTATATTAATACTTGGTTGACGAATTTTAAAATCACAATAATTCATTGTTATTTCTTAGATTTAATATAAAAAAGATGTTATCCAACAATAATACTAATAGCTAATATTAAATAATAATAATAATAATAATAATAATTATTATTATTATTATTATAATATTGGATAACTTTCTTAATTCTAATAATCATCATGATTTTTAAGTAGTAATTAAGAGAATGAAATGCAATTAAAAGAATGGAAGAGACTGCTTATTTGATTGTGTAATGTCAGAAGAAAAAAAAGATAAAGTAATTTAAAATTATTTCATTACAACAAAGAAATAAAATATTAAGTTTGAGTATTTAAACTAAGGATAATATAATTAAAACAATCGTATAATTCCACAAACTTGAAATTATATATTTAACTACAATATAATTTACTTCTTAACCTTTTATTTTTAAGTTCTTTCTAGGTTATTAATTTTAATATTATTTAAATTAAAATAAAATTAATAAATTTAAATATAACTCATTCAAAAAATTATAAAAATATATGATGGATATTTTTTCAGAGATTTACCTAAACTTGATAAAACTCGATAGATGATGAAAGAGCATGGACCAAGGGTCCAACCACTAGAGCTATGGCCAGGAGACTACTTGAAGACTTGTCAAGTTCAGAGCTTAGTGGGCCCAATGGGCTTGGTGGGCCTAGGGTGCTTCTCACTTGGGCTTTACTTGAGTAAACACCATGTTTTATTGTACTTTCATAGAATAGGAAGTTACTTTGTTTTTGGTCTTGTATTTTGACCATAGATTAAGGTTTATGAATTTTGGGCTTGTAATTGGGATTCTTGGGCTTTGAGCTTTTGATATCCAATATTAGGCTCATTCTCTTTCTTGTAATTTTTCCTATTCATTGTATTTTCTTGACCATTGTATTTAGGTCATTAGATTAGGATTTAAGGAGGATTATTAGTTTAATTGAATTAGGGTAAACTAGGTTTAATTTAGGATGCATTTAAGTTGCATTTTGAGTCACATTGTTGGCGCCACCTTGGCTGAACATGTGTGACTCAAAATTCAACCCTAAATGCATACTAAATCCAACCTAAATGCACCTAGCACTAGTGTGACTGGACTTAAGCATGTGGGTTAAGTTTTGAATTCAAATTCAAAATTTGAATTCAAAACTTGGCGCCACATGTGAAGCCTTCACATTGGCGTCAAGTGTGACCCATTCCGGATTCAATTTAAGCTCCCTCCTTCACACTTTGTATTCACTTTTGATATATGAAATTTGAGAGCAAATATTCTACCAAATTTCCTCAAGAGTCACCGTGAGAGAGAGTCTCCACTTTTAGGAACCCTAGCTAGGTTTTCCTACCTTTTGAAGTGAGCTCTCCTTTGCTCCTTAAGCTTGGATGCCTAGGTGAAGTTAATTCTTACTATTAATTAGAGAATATCTTTTGTGTAAATAATAATAATAATAATAATAATAATAATAATAATAAAATCTACCATCTCAATTAGTAACCTAAATTTTATATAATTAAACTTTATATATAAATGAGAGTTTATTTATTTATTTTTGTTTGAACTTAAGAATCCATACATATTTTCTCAACTCTTCATTATTATACTAACTCTAATGGTTCTTCTAGTTAGTATATATAGATATAAAAGTTCCAAAACTTTGAATTTAATTATGCGTAGCCACTTTTATGGAATTGGACGTCCCAGCGTGAAAATTATCCACCTTAAGATTATGAGAATATCTTATGAGAAATGGGGTAAAAGAGTTAATCGAACATATACATGATTTTCTAACTAAAATCGTGATGGGGCCACCTTTTAGAAGCACAAGGATAGTAATAGCTTTGATTAAAACCCATGCATAGCAAAATGTTAGAAGCAAAATTAAAATTTGAAGTATCAAAATTAGAAATTTTAGTTTTGATCGATTTTCTTCAAAATAGATCAACATATTATTAGATCTAAAATAAATTTAAAAATAATTTTTTTTAAATTAATAATATTTTTAATAAAAAATAAAAATATTTTAGAGATTAATCTTGAAAAAATAATTATATGTATATATATATATATTAGAAACGACCTGGTTGGAGATTATGTCAGTTTAACACTCCCCAATTAGCCTCGCAATCGCAAAAATAGCATCTATAAAAGTGCATCATCATATCAAAGCCCATACCCAAAAAAATTTATAAAAATACCCATATGCCATATATGCCCCCGGAACTTGGACTGCACATGGGCTTCAAAGTTTTGGGCTTGGCACTTTTCAAGTAAAATAGATCTTTGACATTATCTTAAAGGTAGATGATAAACACACCTCCACTCTCGTATAAACACACTTCCTTTTTAAAAAATATATATATAAAATATCTAAATTACCCTTAAAAAAATAAAATTTTTAAATTTACACTCTCTTTCCGTACTCCGTTCTCCGTTCCCCGCACCCCCTTCCCCTCACACACCTCCACTCTCATATAAACACACCTCCTTTTTAATAAAAAAAATATAAAATATCTAAATTACCCTTAAAAAAATTTCTTAAATTTACACTCTCTTCCCCGCACCCCCTTTCCCGCACCCTCCTTCCCCTCACCCCACACCCCCCTTCCCCGCAATATATAATAAATAAGAGCAGCAACCCGCCGAAGGGCTGCCGCAGCCACAGACACCCCAATTCTCTCTCCTCCAATCCTCTCTGACCGCGCCTTCTGTGCCAAGGCTCTCAATTCCTGCTCTTTCCTCTCCTTCTCCTTCAACATCATCTCCTTCTGAACCTTAGACCTCATTGCCACCGCCTCCCTCGCCTTCTGCTCCGCCACATACAAAGACTCCGACAATTTCGCGAAGTTGTCGTTAATCTGAACATCCTGAAGGCCTCTCCCATCAGCAGCAAGCCTCTTATCAAGAGGAATAGTGTAACCCTTCGGATTCTTCCAATTCGAAATACACGGAGGAATCTTCCAATCTTGCTGGTCCTTCACCGTCACCGGCCGCGCCGGAGAGTGCATCACCGGCACCGGCGGCGACCCCGAGGCCTTCGGAACACGCTTATGCTTGAACTTCGGAGGCTCCAGAAGATCCACCGGCATCTCCACCATCCTGATAACCTTCTCCTTCGCGCAGGAATTGAACGCCGCGGATTGCTGCGAGGGTTTGTATTTGATATACTTGGGGTGCGGGTGCAGAGAAGGAGGTGTAAATTTAGCAATTTTTTTAAGGGTAATTTAGGTATTTTTTATATTTTTTTTTAAAAAGAGGTGTGTTTATACGAGAGTGGAGGTGTGTTTATCATCTGCCTATCTTAAAATATAAGTTTGACGTTAATCGCAACTATTTGATAAAATTATTCCAAGTTTCATGATTCAGTTAAGTTTCATGATCTATACATCTCTCTCTCTCTTTTTATATGTACACTTCCTTTATTTTATTATTTAAAAAAATTAAAATATTTTTAATTTTTGCATTTTTTTTAATTTTACATCCCTAACTTTCAATTTAGTATTTTTTTTTTCTTCTTTTCTACATATCTCATTTTCTATCCATTTCAATTTTTACATGTAAACCCCTTGTATTCTCCCCACCCTACCTATTTCACTAAGTAGTTTTAATTCTTTTAATTTTCATATTACTCTCTTCTTCTCTCACCTCTTTCAATTTTTACGTACACTTAATCGTAGAATTAGTACACGACATTGTAAGTATGTGTAACTTCCTCAATAATTTTGAAGGTGTCAAGTCAGATGTGCTTCATCCCCTTTTACACTTCAAGAAACCTCAACATTAAAATTAGTGTTTCAAAAAATAATTTTTTGAACATTAATTTTAATATTACGAAAAGTAATTTTCAGAATAGTGAAATTATTTTTTCGAAAAGTATTTTCCAAAATTGTGTTTTTTTACATACTTTCAAAAATACATTTTTGAAATTGTGTTATTTTACATAATTTCGAAAAGTTCTTTTTGAAACAATAAGTTTAGTATTTCGAAAAGTACTTTCCGAAAATATGTTAAAAAACACAATTTTAGAAAATATTTTACAGAACACTAAAATTATTTGGAACACATAATTTAATGTTGTGCTTTCAAAATGTGTAAAAATGGAGAAGTGTTCAAAGAAAAAATGCAAATTTAATTTGACACTTTCAAATTGTTGAGGAAATCACACGAATCTATAATATTGTTGGACACCAATTTTACATCTTATGCGTGTGAAAACTAAAAAGAGGAGAAGGAGAAGGTAATAGGTTGAAAACTGAAAGGAAAGAGGGAAAGATGATAATATAAAAATCGAAAGAATTAAAACTGTATACTAAAATAGGTGAAAAATGGGAGGAATGTAATCTGCATGTGAAAACTGAAAAAATGAGAGGTTTGTCGAAAAGAATAAGAAATCGCTAAATTAAGTGTTGGAAATATAAAATTAAAAAACTAGAAATAAAAAAGGATTAAGAATATTTTAACTTAAAAAAAAAGGAAAAAAGAAATAAGTACAACATGAATTAAAGCAGAAAAGTGGTAACAAAACCTTATCAAAGTTGGGCCAACTATCAGTAGTTCAGTCAAATAATTAATTGGCACATCCAATAAAACATATCCAAAATATAATATTAACTATATCTACTTTCACCCTCATTGCTGAATCTTAGTACTGGTTTTCATAGTTTTGGTACATATTATTATATTTGAATATTATATTTCAAAGTTAAGCACTGAGATTGATTCACCAAGGTTCCACTTTACTGATAGACTTGGTAACTAAACTAGAGAAAATGTGTACACTTTTGCAAGAATCCCTAGGTCTAGCCAGACATCAAAAAACTTGAGTTATGCAATAGAAACTCAATACGTAAGAAACAAGGTGGGAAAAAGGAAGTGATCATTGATCAATTTGAGAACCCTCCAGGTACTATGTGCCCAAGTTGTTGCGGCTGCGGCAATATTATAATTAATAGCACAAGTCTATAATTAAAATTCCTTTTACTATTGTATGAGCATACAGGCTGAAGGGAGGATGGAAAGGAGTTACGTGATACAGTTTACACGTTCTTTAAACTAAACCATTAATTCTTTTTAATTCTGATTGATATATTTCACTTCTAACCAGACCTTCCAATTAGAGCATAAGAGCACTCAGAAGTCAAATAATTAGTAAGATTGAACATTCAAAATCCTTGAGAACTACAATCAAACGAACTAATTCAAAATAAACAGGGTCTATAACAGATACTTGCTGGCTTCAACAGTGACTAGAAAAATCTCCCTAGGTATAGGGCTTTGCCTATCGCTTACACACACAAATGATGCAGATGAACAAATTGAGAAAGATTTGGATTGGGTTGACAGTTCTAGATATTCTTTTTAAAAAATTGCAAAGGTTAACAGAAAATAAATAGAAATTTAAAGTTATGGGACTTCAGAAATAAAAGGAAGTAAAAGAGAAAATCATGTTGAAAATTCTAGCTTAATTTAACAAGCACAATAGCTTTATCAAAAACCATACCCTAACTGCATGTGTTTATTTGAAATCACTGGCAGAGCTGCTCAACTGCAGTCACAATCTGAGCAGGTTGAACCACTGTCCATTCCTCCAGTGTTCCAGCATAAGGAGTTGGCACATCCTGAGAGGATAAACATACTATAGGAGCATCCAAATAGTCATGGAAATTTTCTGTAATAGCAGCTGTCAGACTAGCACCAATTCCACCTGTCCGCATGCACTCTTCCACAATTAGCACTCGGTGTGTCTTCTTCACTGAATTCCCAATTGTGTAAAGATCAAATGGTTTCAAAGACCTGATATCAATTATTTCAGGGTCATACCCCTTGTTCACCAGTGTCTTAGCAGCTTGCATGACATGATACCTCATCCTGGAATAGGTTAATATTGTGACATGCTCCCCAGGCCTAACCATCTCAGCTTCTTCAAGTGACAGTACATACTCTTCATCTGGAATTTTCTCCTTGAGGTTATAAAGCAAAACATGCTCAAAAAGAATCACAGGGTTCTCGCTTCGGATTGCAGCTTTCATCAAGCCCTTGGCATTGTAAGGGGTTGAGCAAGCCACCATCTGGATTCCAGGGATTGACTGAAAATATGACTCCAATCGCTGTGAGTGCTCTGCTCCAAGTTGCCGCCCAACTCCACCAGGTCCACGAATGACAATTGGTATTTTAAACTGGCCTCCAGATGTGTAATGGAGCATGCCACAATTGTTAGAGATCTGGTTAAATGCCAGAAGTAGAAATCCCATGTTCATGCCCTCAACAACTGGCCTCAGACCAGTCATGGCTGCTCCAATGCCCATGCCCGTAAAGGAGTTCTCAGCAATAGGGGTGTCCAAAACTCTAAGGTCCCCAAACTTTGTGGCGAGGCCTTTAGTCACCTTGTAAGATCCTCCATAGTGACCAACATCTTCACCCATGACGCATACACAAGGATCCCTCTCCATTTCTTCTTCCAAACCTTCACGTAGGGCTTCAAAAAGGAGAAGCTCATGCCTAAAAATAAAAGGCATATATGGTGAATTCTAGCATTATTGGTTGAAAACTTTTTGCAACGTTCTTGTGCATGTAATTCAGAACTGTCAATACATGATGTTGCTTAAAACATTTTTTATTTATTACCTTGTGTAGGCATATCGGATAGTGAAAGAAAAATGGCATGTGTCTTGACACTTGAAACAGATAAGCATTGCAAGTACATATTTAGATTCTTTACTAGTCTTAGCAAGAATGAGTAGTAATTGTAGACATCATGGGATTAATGAGTTCTTTCATTACAAGGAATTGTAAAGTAACAATAACACAACTATCCCAAAAGCTGGGTGAAAACACAAACCATATAGTTCTAACCCGTTCTCTCACGCAAGAACCCTTCAGGTTCGAGCTGGCTGCCCTACTTTGTGCTGAAACTTAACTTTTATTTAGATGCATGAATCGAACTCATCACTCTCATAGAAGCTTTGATACAATGTAATTGACAAACTACCCCAAACTCATCACTTGCATAAGATGATCTCTTGGGAGTATTTTTCATATGATTCTTATTCAACAAGGATTATGAGATATCCTCTAGATATTCTAAAATAAGAATAGGATGTCTTTAGTCTGTGTTATATTGACATACAGAGAAAGGGTTGTATAGTCAATTCTATAGAGCATGTTTGTTCTTTGCTACAGTGTCATATTGTTTTCTGATGAATGCCATCTTATTCATCAAAAATTAAAAAAAATAAAATAAAATGAAATAAAAATGTCCAGAATCATTTTGTACTTTCAAGAAGCATTTATTAACAAACCAGAAGATAAACTATATTAACTAAATTCATTGTAACTACAATCTGGACCTACTTTCATCTCATTTATCAAAGGGTGCTGACGATGGGTTGAAGTGGTGGCCAGTTTCTCACATTTTTTACTTATTCATAAGCAATGGAATTTGGGCCAAGTTTTACTGTTTTGACTTCCCTTCTTTACAATGCTTCATTTTGCATCTATACCGAACTCACTCTAAAGCTATGCTTAATTGGAATGAATAAGGCAAAAGACGAAATTACAAAGGTATGCAGATTCTATTGTGTTCAAATACATTGCCATTTCTACTCCCCATCCAACCACGGCCCAAGTGTTTGTAGACAAGACCATATTATTATTTGATTACTCTTGCATGCAATTTTAGGAAAACAGAAAGACAGACATTGATTACAGGTCTGACAATTAAATAAATTCAATCTATCAGCAAAAGGGTAAACATATCAACATAGCTTCATCTCGCAAAATATAATTAAAAAAAATTAAATTTGTATAACATGGAAATACAACAGCAAGTGACTGCAAGAAACATACCCAGATTTTGATGTAGAAGCCACAGAACTGCCTCCTTTTGTCTATAAACAACCAACAAACACAATTAACAAACTTGGGACAACATGTATACCCTATCCCAATTGATCCCAAACCAAACTGCAAACAAAAAAAAAAAAAAGGAATGGAATGAGAGTGATGAGGTAACTAACTGCAACTGCATTGGGAATCAACAATTCATGCTTACGAGCTCCGGTCTTCATAACCTGGCTTACCCTTGCATCAGATCTGACCACAAATATGCCATCTTTCCTCTCTGAACAAACCACAGAATGAAGGAAACAGCATTTAGAAGTCAATAACACTAGCCCTTAGGAAACTAAGTATACGAGAGAAAGCAAAAAAAAATAAATAAAAAAAATCTTAATAAGCAGTTTGAAAATTTTAAAGCAAAAGGAGAGAAATTTACGAAGCGAACCTGAGAGGGATCTCCGAGAAGGAAGGAGGAACTTGTTGGAGTCAAAGGAGTTGGAAGAAGACAATGGGGTCACAACTCCCAATCCCTGGAAAAGGGTCGCCATTGGATCAGCCAAGAACGATGGAAATGAAGAGAGAGTGTGAATTTATGTATGGGCGGAGAAATTAAGGAAGATTTAAAGCAGTGTTAGTTAGTTTGAGTTATGTCGTGTGTTTGTGCACTAATAACAACGTTGGTTCACCTAGCTTCCTTCTTTCTTTGTTTCTTAATAATATTTTGCTTAGTTTCCATCGCCAGCGCCACCTCTTTCTTGTGGACGCTGATGCCTTGCCTTCTTGGTGGCCTAATTGGACCCAACCTTGTTTCTAATCACACCTCACATTTTTTTGCTTTCCACTTTACCGGCCCAATTTCTTTCTCAAGCTTCTCTTTCTCTTTCGTAGTTCCTACCCTCAGTAATATACATTAAATAATAAAATATATATATATATATATC